TCATTAGTTTTGCATGCATTTGTTCATAAACCAAACTGTTCGGAAAAAAAAAAGGTTTAGTCATCGTTTTTATCATCATCACTATTTACAGAGGTATTGGTTATAGGTATACAAATAATGGCAAGATGAGTAAAGAGTGTGTAAGTAGTAGTTCTCAGTTTGACTGTATAGTTTTTCGTTGTCCCGTCAGGTTTCATCCAGATCACATCCAGGAGTTTCTTACCAAAAGGAAGAGGAAGAGTGAAGGCTGGAAATGTGCTGTAAGAATTGTTTTCAGTCTCAATATGTTCTTGTTTATGTCTGATAATCCAAGGTGATCATAAGTGTAGAATAAGTTCTTTGGCAAAAAAAAAAACATCACAGTCTTAAACCTTTCAACCCTCTGAATCAGATTTGTCTGAAGACCTTCAGCCGCAGGCCTCATCTGCAGGAGCACATGATCCTGCACACACAGGACCGACCTTTCAAATGTACCTACTGTGACGAATACTTCAAGTCAAGGTTTGCTCGACTGAAACACCAAGAAAAGTTCCACTTAGGTGAGGAATGTACAGGAGAATATAAAGGAATAGTGGAGACTAAACAAAAAAAACGTAACCAGATATGACTTACTGTGATATGTGCTCATGGATCACAGTTTCAGTTTATGGATCAATCAATGCATTTGTTGCAATGATTTGTATCTTTTTCAATCTTTAGGTCCCTTTCCGTGTGAGATTTGTGGCCGGCAGTTTAATGACACAGGCAACAGGAAGAGGCACATGGAGTGTACACATGGAGGCAAAAGAAAGTGGACCTGCTTCATTTGTGGGAAATCTGTAAGGGAAAGGTACAGGAGAAATGTTCTGTCTATAAAAGCATATATTCCATATGTTAAACTCTTAATCTGCACGCTGAGCTGCATTAAATTCAACGTAATCCTTTGCTGCTTTATTTAGATTCTGTTTTTCTTGTTATAGGACGACGTTGAAGGAGCACATGAGGATCCACAGCGGGGAGAAGCCTCACCTGTGTAGTATCTGTGGCCAAAGTTTCCGTCACGGCAGCTCCTACAGGTGAGTGCCAATCGGAGGAAATTGTGGATCGTTTGTGAAATCTTAGAGGAAAACTTGACTACAAACTGTTCTTTGGACAGGCTCCACCTCCGAGTCCACCACGACGACAAGCGCTACGAGTGTGACGAATGCGGGAAGACGTTCATACGCCACGATCACCTGACCAAACATCAGAAAATACACTCCGGTACAGTAAAGCTAGAGGCAATGTTATTCCTGTGTTTCTTTCTTAAGCCTTTTCTGTAGTACAAATTCACACAGCTTTCTGTCCTTATAAAACCATGCAGTGGGAAATACTCTTCATCCTTTACTGTCGGTATTTACCTGAACTTGGTGTTTGTCACAGGTGAGAAAGCACACCAATGTGAAGAGTGTGGGAAGTGTTTTAGGCGCCATGATCATCTGACGGTCCACTACAAAAGCATTCACCTGGGAGAGAAAGTTTGGCAGAAGTAGGTGATCAGTAAAGTCATTTTAAAAGACGTGATTTGTCCGTCGTTAATGCAGTTTTCATTTTCATTTGAATGCCCTTTCTCAGTTTTGCACATGTTATTTTGGTTTCTGTCTCTGCTAATACTCATTATTTTTCACAGGTATAAAACTGCTCTGCATCAGTGCGAGGTTTGCAAGAAAGAATTTAAAGGAAAGTCCAGTCTAGAAATGCACTTCAGGACCCACTCAGGTGAGGAAACAAAGAAGTCAAGTGCAGTAAGATGCCTGAGTCCATGTGTTCACCAGAGAGGTGAACATCTAATGAAATGAATACCCAGCAGGGAGGGCTCCAGAGCACTGCCGAGACATTTTAGCTTCATTTTCCAATGGTTTTGTCCAAGTCCTTGCCTTGGGCCTTGACCCTGAAGAATAGTAGCTGAAGCTTGTATGGAGAGTAGATTGATGAGTCGATATACCACATGTTTTAAAACAATACAATCTCAATGTTTTTCATGATCGATAGTATCAAAAAGTACTGAAGCTTTAAAAAAAACTACAGATCTTCAGTCACATTTTGAACTACCCAACATTGGGTTTTGTTGATTTTTACTATCATTATACGTTTGAGTTTAATATTCTGGTATAGTGACAACACTACTGGAGGACCACAGTTGTTGCAGTAAAACTTTAACATGTAGGAGGTGATGGTTGAGGTATTCGTCCTGCCCCTACTTCAATGAGATTGAGTGACTGTTAGACGGTTGCAGTAACAATCGCAGTATTTCTTTAACTTGAATTTTTTTTTTAACTCTCTCACTCTTAAAACTGTCTTTTTGCAAAGAATTGAGAAAGTACACCACGGCCCTAGGAGACAAACAAGAGTGACGATTGGACGATAAATGTCTTCCTCAAAACTAACTGTGCTTTTTCCTGTCATGATCCTGTGACAGGTGAGAAACCCCACAGGTGTCCCGAGTGCAACCAGACATTCCGGATCAAGAAGACATTGACGAAGCACATGGTGATTCACTCAGACGCTCGCCCTTTTAACTGCCCGCACTGCAGCGCCACCTTCAAAAGAAAGGACAAGCTCAAGTACCATGTGGATCATGTGCACAGCACCCGGTTCACAGAACAGCCAATCAGCACCATCGGCGAGGACAAAATAGTCTCCGTTCACTTTGAAGAACCCTCTAAGTCTTACAGTGCTGAACCAAAGTCCACACTGAGCACCCCTCCTCCTGGGAATGTGTGCGTGCCCGTCACTTTAGTACCTGTCCAGATGGCAGGAGGAGCGCAGGGAAACTTGAGCGCACAGAGAGCCTCATCTCTCTCTGCCCAGACTCACAGGGTTGTGAGCATGCAGGCTCAACAGCAGAACTCTGGATACCAGGCATCCTCAGACCTGGCTTTCTTAGAGAAATACACCCTGACTCCCCAGCCAGCTAACATCGTGCACCCTGTGAGGCCCGATCAGATGCTGGACCCCCGAGAGCAGTCCTACCTGGGCACGCTGCTGGGACTGGATTCAGCTTCTTCTGGGCCGAACATTTCCAACTCTGATCACTCGCACTGACGGTGCTCGGCCATAAAAATGGTCAACTGGGCATAGTCCAGTTTCATTAAAGGTTATTAACTAATAAAAACAAAAGTCACAGTATCAGTTTACATTAATCAAATTAGGACAAACTGCACATAATGGACATTGAATCTGATGTGTTCAACTCGTTGACAGTACATCCAAATCTTAGAGGAACTTCATACCAGAGTCCCTCTTATAGCAAAGTCATTTTGTGTCATGTTCAGAGAGGAAAAAAGATGGACCCTTTTTCTGAAGAAAAAATGTCGACTTAAATCTAGAATATTAGTTGAAAGTAAAAAAAACATGTGAGCACATTGTTTACCAACCAAAAATGGGACAAAAACAAACAATGAATTGTTGCAAAGGACAAAGATGCAATTTTTCACTGTATAAAGTAAAAAAAAAAAAAACATTTCCAGAGCAGATGTTTGATTATCTAAAACTCTAAATATATCACAAAAATATTTGCTGGTGGATTTTTTTCAGCCTTGACATGTGCCTCTATAGTTCTCACTGATGATCGGTGTTTCTGGTGAAACATGTTGAGATGTGTTTGATGTTTTTTGCCCTCTGAATGGTGCTTAAAAAAAAAAACCACCATATTTTATTTTCAAGAATCAGTCAGTTTGCATAATGATGTCAACTTTAATGCACTTCTGAATCACTTAAGATATGTATTCTGTAAAAAGAGTCATTATCGCAGGCCAAAGTGTCTCAATTTAGTTTTTGTCATTTTTGTCAATATCAATATGAATTAATAGTTTTTTGGATACATCAATGGATTAGTTAACAGAATATGTTTTATCATTAAAAGCTATTTAGTTACATGTAAATAAAGAATCACTTCTGGCAGCCTGAGCTCATAATACTGTCAATCTTTATCTGTGGTAAAAAAACCCCACTTTTTGTTATTTAAATAGTCTGTACAACATTGTATTCTAAAATGTTATGTTTCTGACGAGGGCTGCACGGTGGTTAGCGCTGTTGCCTCACAGCAAGGAGGTTACTGGTTCGAATCCCCGTCGGACAAGAGCCTCTCTGTGTGGAGTTTGCATGTTCTCCCTGTGCATGTGTGGGTTCTCTCCGGGTACTCCAGCTTCTCCCAGTCAAAAGTCATGCTCCTTACGTTAATCAGTGACTCTAAAGTTGTCTGTAGGTGTGAATGTGAGTGTGGCTGGTTGTTTGTCTTTATATGTCGGCCTTGTGATTGACTGATGTACAGTCCAAGATGTACCCCGCCTCTCGCCCAATGACAGCTGGGATTGGGCTCCAGCCCCTTGCGACCCCAAATGGGATGAGAGGTATAGATAATGGCTGGATGGATGCTCCTGATGATGTAATGCAGTTCTATAGAAAAGGGCTTTTTTAACTGGTGTAGCTCAAATATGAGCATCATTCAGTGTGAGAATCCAATGTACCTAAGTTTTAGATTAAGAACCTAATCATAAGAACAAACATTAAAACATGTTCTATTCAGGGGGGCTGGTGGGGCAGTGGTTAGTTCGCGCACCCCATGTATGAGGCTGTGGTCCTCCAAGCGGGTTGCCTCCTTTCCGACATGTCATTCCCTACTCTCTCTCTGATTTCTGACTCTATCCACTGACCTATCTCTCCATAAAAGCACAAAATGGCCAAAAATATATATATATATTACATAAAATTGTTCTATTCAATCTGCTTTTGGTAAGAAATGAATTAAAAAACAGATGGAAATTAAATTGTAAAGCTAAAGATAATAATTGAAATAGTAACTGTTGCATCTTAAGCTTGTTTTGCTGATGGATTTTGTTTTTCTTTGGCATTTGCACAGAATTACTTGTAAAGTTTTATTTCTTGACATTCTGAAACAGTGCTCTTTTTAAACCGTGTCTCAATGACCAATAAAATCAGCTCTCAAAAACTCGGATGTTTGTGAATAACTGACCCTGTGATCGTCACAAAGATTTTATTGAGTACAATTTATAAATGCTCATCATGCATAGCTGTTATTACTGTAGACAAAGTAAAGCCCCTCCATTATCTTAGCATGAGGGGATCATCTTGAAAAGTGGGCAAAGTGAGTAACTGCATAATCCAAACATTATTGTCCTCTGAAAGTGTCTGGTGTTTGTCTTCAGTCAATAATGAACAAATCTTGAAGCAGCAGAATCCTCCCTTATGCAAGAACGCCTGAGCAGGTATTCTGGATACAAGATACATGGAGTTATAAACAATCAGAGTAAATGTACTTAAAATGAGTGGATATACAGTATATACATGCAGAACAGACTAAACAGTCGTAGTGCTTCTTATGAGACGGGTCAAAATGTAGGACAAATAGCAGAAATACATCTTTTAAAAAGTAGATGTATGATTAACACTCACCAATGTTATTTGCGTCCTGGCACAACCTGAAAACAGTCACAGAGAGGCACAGCAGTGAATATGAATCTTTGTACACCACACACAACATTGCAGAAACCTTTGGGATTCGGCTTATGGATACATGTTCTGATATTTGCTCCTGCGTTGACCACTGTGGATGCTAAAAATGTGGTTTATATTGTTTGCGGCTCTGATGAAAACTGTTAGTAATCAGATCATGTTTGAAGTGGTGTCACCTGAGTCTCCTTTTATTGAGTTGCAAAAAAACAAACAAACAAACAAAAACAAGTGTTTGGAGTTAGAAATAAGTTAGGGCAACAGACTTCACCGGATTGAGACTTTTTCATTACTTTGCTTGAGGCTAGAGGCTAGTATGGAAATAACACACCTGTATCACAGGTTGAATAGTTAAATGCTGACTTGCATTGTGGGTAATACAGGCGGCTATCTTAGAAAAATAGAAGAATGCTTGGAAAAAAACAAAGAAAGATACAATATCTATTGTTCTGTTCATTCGGATTCTTTAAACAAAGTTAATCTATTCCTCTTGAGAGTAAATAAACAAGACAAGACTTTCTGCTAAGCAATAGTCAAGATATAAGTCTTTGTGACATCTTATCGTCATTTTTGTGTGGATTAAAGGAACAAGACTCTTTAACATTTAATTTGTGAACTTTACAAGTGCTGGCACGCAGAGCCAGCTGTGTCTTTGTTCTTTATGCTAAGCTATGCTAAATGACTGCTAGCTGTAGCTTTATTTATGACGTACAGACATGAGCATGGTATCAATCTGCTAATTGAACTCTTGACAATGAACCAGTGCTCTTAATGGGACTTCATACTTCACAAGGGGGCGCCAAAATCCACACAAACAGAAGGATTCTCTCAAGAGCTTTAAATAACACAGTGTCTGTTTTGTATTAACAGTGTTGTGAAATATTTACTACTACTACTTCACAGTTATCCCAATCCTACTCAGAGTTTTTGAATACCGAAGCACAAACTGGGGGCTTTTAATCCAAATAAATAAAAAACAGGATTGTTCAACCCAGACTTCACTTTTTTTTTCTTTTAAACAATCTGTTTTTAAGGTTTGATTCGACATGATAATTTTAATCTGATGAAATTAACTTTAAACAACTGGGGCCGGGTAGATCCAGGTTGCAGATTTTACATATTGGAAGTTTGGGACAAATCCTTTCATTGATTGGTCAAAACTGATCAAAAAAAAAAAAAGATGAAACTTAAATGGAGACATAAGGACCTTCATCATGTTGATGTGAAGATGGAAGTTAAGTCAATGTGTTGTCAAAAGGACAATCAGTGAAATGATCTCGCAGGTGACCAGCACTCACTTATCTCAAGTGATAATAAGAAAAGAAAGATGTCTCTGTGAAGTAGTTCTATTTTAGCTGAAACATATGAAATGAGCTATGAAGATATACTTACATTTCTGTAACCTCAGTCCTTCAGTCGTGCACTTGCCCACTGAGTAATTATTAAACCACCACTCATCCTGATGCACACAGTCAAATTCTTTTTCCTCTCCCTCTTTTATAAAGACTTTTCCGACTGAAACTAACAATGGATGTTCATCAGTGTTCACAGCACAGTAGGCATCTGCACAAAAAGAAAACAGAGTTTTTTTTTCAACAACCCCCTCTCTCCCCATCATACAAATCTGTACTTTACTTTATAATAGACTTGTTTATACCTCTGCAGATGGGTATATTGGACCATGTGCCGTTGCCATAACACAGCACTGTCTCTGGACCAACTAGTTTGTAAAAAACTTTGCAGCTGTACTTCAAAAACGATTCGTTCGATTCCACTACTTCACCGTTGGCAACTGTAGGGAAAGTTCCACAGTTTCTGACTAAGAAACAAAAGTGAAAAGATAGAGATAGATGGATGGATTTATACTTCATTGACCCCAAACTTTGACATTGTTAAAGCAGCAGGTTATCAAAGCATCAAAAAAGAAATAACCTGCAAATAAACTCCAACACCAGAAGATGGATTTCTATACATCAAGAAATTGTAGTCATATAAATCTAAATTATATATATATATATAGATTATGAACTTAAAAATTAAAAATATATATTAATTCAAAGTACTGTTCAGGGAGACATGAATCCTGGGTGATTTCATCAGGAAGACAACGCCTCAAAGGATCAAACATTACTTTAAATATGTATTATTTACAAGTAAATGAAGTGCGTTCAGATAAGATACATGGACAAACTTATTTTCATCTCATACAGTTTATGTCTTTTACCTACCTCCAACTGTAGGTTGTGTTCTGTCAGAAGATGTAGTTTGTCCTTCACCTCCTCCGCTACCTGGTCTAGTTCCTCTGACTGAGAGTGAAACAGATATATAGATCAATTGTAGTATATTCTTATATTTTATATGATTGAAATGGTGGTTTATTAAGGACAAAGAAAACTCCTGGACTGTTACTCAGCTTCCAAAACACATTTGTAAAGTCAAAGCCGTGTTTATTTGTATTTTCATTCTAATCCTGTTTATGTAGAAATTTGTAACTCTGAGTTTAAAGAAATATTGATTAAAGATTGACTTTCTGGTCACCTTATGTCTACAGACTCTTGAGGGAAATATTTGACTGTTCAGCTCCTAATTTATTTGTCAGGGACTATTCATGTAGGCATTGTTACATCTTCATTAAAGTGCAACCGATGCAATGTACATAGGACTTCTAGCCATGGCTAATTTGCACTCCCTGTTCCTGGTTAGGCTTTTAGGAAATAACACACATGATACAACAAGGCTGTAAAATAGAGATGGAAATGGACGATTGCAGAGACTCAGCGACATAGATGCATAAAAGTAAGTCAGACATAGACAAGCAAATTGATGATGATGATGAATAAGAATGAGAATAAATAATAATGACTGAAATAACAGCTATGAACAAATAAAGTAAAAGAGGAATAAAATATGCTGTGCTATAAAACACATGTATTTAGTATTTGCAGATTTGCCTTTGTTTAAGCCATTGTTTCGCTTTGTTATTCAAACCTTTGGAGTCAGTTCATGTTTTTATGTCTGATGGGAGGGGTATTCTCTATCTGTGGGCCTTTAGCTGAGAAAGACGACTGGCCAAATGCTGTCATGCACTGCTGGTCTACAGTCTCCACTAACTGCACTTCTCATCATGGCTGCTTAATAGTTCCCCTGCTAAAGCTGCTTACACTTCAAGGTCATGGTTCAATGCTGGGGAAGTAACACACAACAAGTTTAGAAGTGTTTTTTCTTCTTCTGAGAGCAGCTGCAGTGTGGACGATAAAAATGAATGAAGACAGTAGAAAGGACCCTGCTGAGCATTACCCTCTACTAGCACCACGGAGCAATGTTTTTAATATGTTTTAATGTTTTTTAAGTTCTGAGGAGGTCTTGAAGTTTTTTACATCTTAGCGGTTAGTTCACTTACTGCACGTTGGGCCTTCAGTCCAGTTTCCGGATATGCAGAAGATGGTTTTTTTGCTCTCTGCTCCCTCCACAGAGTATCCATCTTCACATTCATATTTCACACTGGAGTCTGCAGCAAACACCTCCTGATATCTCTGACCAACAATGACTGCATGGGGGATTTGAGGGGGTTCACCACATGCAAGGATGCTCTCTGTAAACAATTCAAGAAAAAAGTGTTAGCAGGAACAGGAAAAGATGGCGTTGGTTCGGACACTGATCCTATTCTGTTATTGGTTTGGGTGACTGGAGGAACACACTTACTCTCACAGACAGGCACAGAGGTCCAGGTTCCATTGAGACAAACAGCTGTGGCGTCCCTCTTTTTCACTTCATATCCCTCGTCACATGTTACCCGTATTTTTTCCCCCTCCTCATACCAACCGTCTGAGTTTTCTGTGTATTTTGCATTGGGGACTGTTATTGGAATGCAGGCGTTTATTTCTGTGTAAACAAACAAACAAATGACCTTCACACACATTTTAATATGACTCTTACGAATATTTCCCCTCTGCCCCCTCACTCTGACATCTCTCCAGTCATGCATGTAAACAATTAAAGAAAAAAGTGTTAGCAGGAACAGGAAAAGACGGCCATTTTGATAGCGTCTTCTGATGGCGTCTTCTGTTACACGTTGCTTTTGACTAAGAACTCAGTGATTATTTGGATGCATATAACAGACAGAGGATGAAAATGTTGCTTCTTCATGCACATAGTATAAAGCTCACCACAGAAGAGTTTCATTAAGAAATGTAATAACATTTGCTAAAGGAAGCCGTTTCAGACTAAAGTTTCATAAATTGAAAGATTGATGACTTCATGAGGTAAAAAAACAAACAAACATAAAACTTGAACATTACATACAGTTTAGCATGACAAGCGCTATTACAGGCTCTCAGTGTCTCATTCAAACAAACACTTACCTATACATTGCGGTTCAGGAGACCATACCCCGTTTTGACATGTGCTTGTTGCCCACCATCCCTTCACTGCAGGTTTACGTCCACTATCACAGGCGTAAGTTATCTCAATTTCATGAGAATATGTTTCTTGTTTCGGGAAAAAAAACCCACCATCAAAGCCTGGAGCGCCACAAGGCTGAGTTGCACTTTGAGCTTAAAAAAAAGAAAAAAAAAAGATGAGTAAAAATAAGAGCACAACACTATCATAAAAAACAAAACAAAAAAAACAATGTAAATGTTAGGTCTAATGTTGAGTCTAATGTTCTTACCATGCAGTGCTCCTGGAAGGCCGAAAAGAATAACAAACCCGAGATATCTCACCCACATTTTGTCAGGAATAAAAATGTTAGAGTGAAGAGCCCATTTCAAATCAGAACAGATTAATGATTGTTGAGGGCACTTCCCCAAAAAGTGAAGAAATGTGGAGTAAAGAGTCAGTATCTGTGACTCTGACACCCCTCGTTACTCCAAGCCCACACACTGATTCAATGAAACAAACAACATTGCAGACACACTCGGGGGTTAAAAACAGTTCAACACACCGGTCTCTTATCATAATGTTAACATAAGTCAGAGTTATGACATATAAAGATCATTACAAGACAGAAATGAACATTTATAGAATACTTCATCAATGTAGTCATAATGATTGAGTATTTTACAACCATTACATCATATTCATATTGTGCTATGTGCATACAAACAATGGGAACTTAGAGAGATCGCAAATACATTTAAAGGTCATAATCTGAAAGCTGATTCAATCATGATAAAGATGTTGAATAATAAACTAAATGTGGTTTAAGTCTTTAGTTTCAACTTAAATTGGGTACATTTAACGGTTAAAACATTCAGCAAACATTGCAGCATTTTTTAGTTTCTCCCATGTTTGTCAAACCACAACAGAGATTCATTTGTTTAGAGTCCAGATTTCCAAATGATTTCCTACTGTGATTAGAGGTCAACATAATAAAATACCAAACACAGCCAGGGCAAAGGTTAGCCTGCAGTAACACAGAGGAAACTGTGACATATACTTGTAGGTGATTTGATTGGCACAGCACAGGGACCATACTTCAGATTGTGCACTTAAATACAAGCATTGTTATGGATTGTTATGGATGATTATGATGTTATGAAAAAGATTGCCTTTGAGTCTCCTTGTAGGTCTGTGAGCCAACTTGCTGGATCTCCCTGTGCTCTGCACCTCTTTCATCCACTTTTAAACATGTGACTGAACAGTAGAAATATAGTGTATGGTGTTAGGTATTGGAGGGCAGACTTGGTCATGTAGTGAATGATTATCCAGATGAGAACAGTCTCACAAATGTCTTTTTTTCTCTTGACATCAAATATGTTTCATTACTGTTGGGTTCTTTGTAAGCGAGGGAGACCCCCTGACATATCTCATCTTTCATGCGCTCCAACTCCCTGGCAGAACTGTCAGAACTTGCTTCCTTAGGGAGCTCGTAGGAACTCCGGTTATACCTACCCTTCTGTCTCAGGCTACGGCCATCCCGAGAGTTCCGTTCAGATCTGGTAGTGATCAGTTCTCCAGGCTGGAACCTACTCTGTGGTTGAGTCCCACCTTCACCCCCCTGGCTCTGTTCTCTATTCTGCCGGTGATATGGTCTCTTATTCCTAGCACGAGGCAACTTGTTGCCCTCACGTGACACGTGACGTAAGCGTGTCTGCCAAACCGCCTGTGTGAATCTCTTGATCTCTTTCATACTAAGCTGATGTGTACGACTATGCAGGGTGACATCTGAGCGCACGCAGCCATGCAGATTGTGCATGAAGATGGACTTGAAAGTTGGGTTCTCTTCCAAACCTGGAGCTTCACGTCCCTGGAAATATGCAGATCTTAGTCGCCAGTAATAGTCTTTGGGGGCCTTGTGCTTCTGGTGCAAGACACTGAAAACACTAAGAAGGGCAGATGCAGGGTCAATGTAGGTGGAGTATTCCTGGCGCAAAGCATTGCAGAGCGCAGAGTACTGGTATCTGATCTCAGGCTGAAGGGTAGTCGTGAAGTTATGGACACTCTTGGAAGTTGTCTTCCAGATCAGCCTGAGTTTTTCTCTTGTGGATGCATCAGGTACCTCACTGAGGTACCCATAGATTCAATGAGCCTTATGCGCATTCTTTGATCTCTGGGTAGAAGGGAGCCATCCGAGTCATCTAAGGTTTGGATATTCCTCAGCCGTGAATCCTGCAATGGGAACCTACAGGTAGCAGGAGGGGGCCTGGTGTTATCTCTGCCTCTGGGGCTGAGAAGTCACCCCCCTTCCTATGTGGTGATTCAAACCTGTGAAGGTGTGAAAGGGTGTCACAGTTGTCAGAGAATTAGGGCGTTTCCCCAAGGAGCGGGGCTCCACAGTCAAAATCAGGGAAACCTAGACTTATTTCCTCAGTCCTTGGGTTATCCTGGCTGCTCGGTTCTTTACTGAGCTTTTTCAGCAGGGTTGTTTGATCTCTTAAGGGGCTTGGTCCAGGATCAGAGTCATATCCTGACGATGTGTCTTGCTCCATGCTCCTTTTGTGCCTGGGTCGACCCGGCGGTGCCTTCCCCTCTCCTCCAGATCCTGCAACATGTCTGTCTCCCTCCTCCAGGGGCTTGTTTCAGTCTCCCATCCTTCATCTGAGGTTTCCTCAGCTGATCTGGGGGCTGCAGTACTTATCTGCCTATCCTGAAATCTGGGTACCGTGTCACTTCGTTTCTTCTGTTCGGCCAGTTTGCTGCTTTCATGCAGTGTTTTATTCTCCTCCTGCAGGGCCTTGCAATTTTCCTGCAAGGTCTTTAGTTTATCCTGCATTCTTTCGAAGTCGTCCCACAGGATCTGTCCTTCTAGTACCGGGGCTAGCTGTTCCCGGTGTATCTCATTCTGCACATTTGATTTGCGCTGATAAAGGAGGAGAATTTCGCCTAGAACATCTGAAACTGTACGTGTTGGCTTCCCAGTTGGTTGATTTGCATATTCAACCAAGCCCTTTAGTTTCTCTTCACATGTGCTGAGGGTGTAGGAGTTCAGGCTGTCAAGCTTCTCTATAGGGAGGTGGATAAGATTAGCAACTACGTCTTGAAGGGGTGGATCATCTGATCCATAGTGAGCTTTGGCCCATGGTTGATGTATGTCTTCTGCATACATTCTGTCTTTATTAGGGGTGATTCTGGCTCTGTGGTTGACAAGATCAACTAGCTCTTCTAACTTCTTATCACTAATGCTAATTGACTAGCTATATAGGTTGGCACTCTCCTCTAAGGAGAGGTTCGTCAGACCGGCAGCTGTTTCTTGCAGTGCTGCGTCATCTGATCCAAAAGGAGTCTCAGCTCCCGACTCACCTAGGGTCTTGGTACACAAGAGCAAATCTTATCTAAGTTTCCCAACTGATCACTGCAGTCTATCCTGAAAGATAGGAGAGGGGATTCACACCTCAAGTCCTCAAAGGAAGGGAGGAACTCACACCTCTCAGACAGCTGGCTATGCAACAATGATGAGGTTACACTCTCATCTGGCCAAATGGCTCTCAAACAACAAGGAGCACCACAGTCCTTTAGTAGAATGCTTCAGGATCAAAATCTAGATTAATGCAACAAATCAAGTTCCTTGATAAAGTCACACTAGCTGCATCATTATGTCCAATTGTTGTATGGACCCAAAGGGGATAACAGTTATGGCTTTAACCATTAACCAACAACATACAACACAACTAAGCCACAGCTTGATGTCTGCTTTGCTTAAACCACAAAAAATTAAAGAAAATATAATTTTCTTCAGAAGGATCCCTTTTAGGATTTAAGTTTGGATTACTGTGCATTAACAGTGCAACAAAGCTGGTTTATTGAAGGCCTCACACGGGGCACCATTTGTTGGGGTTGTATCAAGTCAACTTTGGTTATATTCTTTAATAATTATACTTAATTATTAATAATATAAATAAAATATCATTAAACTATGTTTAATCTCGTTTTGGGGCACCAACCTGTAATCAGGTAAATATAACCAAAATATCACTCAAATCAGTCTCAAATTAGTTATTTAATTACTAATATTATTAATAATGAATAACTATATTTAATAAATTGAAGGTGTGAAATCCGTACACAAAGCCTTCGCACCCAGCTTATATCACAATGCAAATACAACCAGTAATCACAAACAACTGCTCTCTTAAAATTATAACAGAATTTATTTAAACAAAGCAACATCAATCCAAAATCAATGAACAAATAACTATTACAAACTAATCTAAGCAACAAACATTATCAAGCAAAGGCTTGTGAAAAGGGTGTGAATGTAGGTGTGTGTGTGTGTGTGTGTGTGTGTGTGTGTGTGAGAGAGAGAGAGAGAGAGGGGGAAGAAGAAAGGGGGAGATGGCTTCGTACCCACGTGGTCGTTCACGATGGCGCAAACCTAACAAAGACCTGGGTGCTTGCGTGCGTGCGTGTGGATGAAAGGGAGAGAAAAGGGGGGAAGATTACTTCGTCCCACGTGGTCGCCCTTCCGATGGCGCACACCTAACAGAGACCTCAATGTGGCCTTAATGTCTAAAAGAGGCCGAGTTTGGCCCTACACGATCTGTGTCTCTGAGGCGTCTGGATGGCTGCGAGTGAATAGATCTGTGTGTGTGTGTGTGTGTGTGTGTGTGTGTGTGTGTGGCCTATGTGCGTAATGGCGCAGAGATGGAGTTAGTCTCCAGATGTACGTTTACACAGGAATATGTGTGTGTGTATGTTCGTAAAGGGGAAATAAAAGAGAAATGCGTGCCTTAAGAGGCCGGATCACAGTCCGACTCCCGCGCCACAACTCGGAGTAATTCCCTTCATTCACAGAAACAAACCAATGGCCGAATTCAAGTTAATACGGTTTACACTGGCCTTTCTGATCAGAAGACTAATACCCGGTTATAACGCTGTTACACTAAACACATATAGGACGCAGCGGTCCGAAACAACAACAAGAGTTTTAAACAGTTAAAACTCAGGACGCAGCGGTCCAACAAAGATAAAAATGACAGTTTCTGCTTCGATCAACAATTGCAGAAAGCTAATTCTGCCCAGACCTAATTAAGCCTCACTTGTGAATCGCTGTGTCCGCGATTGGTGAAAGGAAAAGAGTCCGGCGATAAAACAAATCGTCTGTCCGTCCTGGTGCAGAGGCGTCTGATGGCGGCGAGGGTCCCTTACGGCGAGAGCGGCTTCGTTGGTTCTCCGTCAAGTGGAAAGATGTCCTTTGATGTCCTTTCGTTGCAGGACGGAATAAGACCGTTATCTTTCTGATAATCTGTTATAGTCTGACGCTCTCCGAGAAACTGAGATGCGTTCACTGGACAATCCGAGCTCGGAATTTAGAACACTGCCGGCCGCGTATTACCTGCGCGCCAAAAAAACTTAAAACAAAGGAAGATTGTTGCAGAAACAGGAGGTGAGCTTGGATCTCCGAGTCAAGTCAGCGCGTGGAAAGAGGTCGAGCAATGGAAGTCTTGGAGTTTTTGTAGCCTGGCCTGCTCCATGGGGGGTCTACCTCAGGTCCCCTCCAATGAGGAGAGAGAGGTTCCGGTCCCCCCCTTACTTCACGCGTAGGTGTGAAGTACCGCAGGGGATTCTGGGATTAAGAGTCCTTTTAGGCCTCTTTGTGATCTCAGTGAATAACTCAAATGAGGCTTTTACAGAGGTGCAGGCCCAAGTCCATTGTTTGATTGTCCTAAGCCTGCGTGGCCCAACATTACAATGTCATAAAAGTAAGGTCAGGTACAGCTAGGTGGCATACTTCATCTGCCAGGACAAAAGTATTAAGGAGAGAAGGTAAGACAGGAGCTTGAGCCCCTTTTCTTTTGGCTCTCAATAAGTGTTGGTGCCTGCTATGACAGCAGCCATTGAATCTGAAGAAATCTTTCAGACTCAGATAGCCCAGCAGAAAAGCACCAGATGGGCCGGAAGACTCCAGCTAAAACCTGGGTGTGGGAAGAGGCTGGGAGGCTATGGATAGGGGGTTTTGGCTGACCTCAAGGAAGTTCTTACAGTTTCAAGAACCAAGGAAGGAAAGCAGGGCTTGTTTACTGCTGTTTTCTTAAAGGAAGAACTGAACCAAAGTAGCATTCCATCTGATGAAGTGGCACATTTCAAAGATCCAGTGGAAGTCTCAACCATCTTTGGCAGTGGTCTCTGAGGTAGTCAGAGTGTTCTTCAGTGGCAGGGAGAATGCTCGTGACAGTGTGTTGGGCTCTCTTTGCTAACACGTCTCTTCAGTGTCACATGGAGGTCCGGGACAGTGCCTGTAAATTGATAGGAGTGGTTCCCATTTTGAAACAGAAGGACAGGAAGGTGTGCTCTATCTGGGTATTACACTATTGAGCTTACAGGGGCGCCTTTATTCCTTATGTTAATCAGTGACTCTAAAGTCAAATGAGGCTGTGGTCCTCCAAGCGGGTTTCCTCATTTCCGACATGTCATTCCCTACTCTCTCTCTCTCTCCCTGATTTCTGACTCTATCCACTGACCTATCTCTCCATAAAAGCACAAAAT